CAATTAATATTATTTTAAGAGTTAAAGAATGTAAGAATTTAAAAATAATTTTAAAATGACATTAGAAAGGAAGATTCTTATACGTGCTATAAAAACTCTATCATTAATTTATCTTGTAAGTATTCCTTAAGTGACTGCCCTGAGTTAGGAAGTAACTACCCATTGACTTTAACCCCTATAGCCATGTTCTATGATCTCATAGGTAAAACATCAATCAATCAACACACAAATAGCATTTTCAAATTGTGATATATATCACAGAAGAAAAATGCAAAGCCCAGTGTCAGTAAAGGACTGCCAGGGGAAGGGGAGGAGGCACATAACATTACCAAGGGTACCTGATCCTAAAGCAAGCGAAGTGCGGACTAATGGGAGGCCCATACTTCACCTGTACATAGACCACTTATGTACCTAATCCTGACTTGTACCCTGCCTCTTTAAAATAAAACAAAGGTCGGAGATGTTTCACCTGATGTGAGCAGAGGGTGATGAGAAAGAGGATGAGTGATCCTCTCATTTTCACCTGTTAAAGGAAAAAATGGGCTCCTCAGAGATTTCCTGACGAGCCAGCAATAAAAGTAAAAATAAAACTAAAAACTCAAATTTCAATATTTGATATTGTAAGTCTGTGAATGGTAATTTTTGAAGATCACCAAAGATTTTTAAAAAGCATGTAATTAAAAAAAAAGCATGTAATTCTCCAGAAACATCTTATTTGTCTAAGTATCTAAAAAAAAAAAAAAGAAGCTATAATTAATTCTGCTATATGGTGTAGGAAACACTGGATAATTTTCATGAGGTAGAGAGTATTTTACTGAAAGCTGATGAGATATTTTATTTACAAGGAATCAGACATATCTTTTTCTCACAGTAATAATTATGTAGTAACAAAATGCTACAGTGAATATCAAAGTTTTAAATGTTTCTACACACGTAGAATTTTAAAGAAGATTAGATGATTACTTCCTAATGATTAACATCAACCTTCTCTGACCTACAAAGATAACTCAATTATTTATTAATAATGGCATTAAGATGTAATATTTCAGACCATATTTTATCTTCACAGGTTTCATTTGTTCTTTATACTTTTAGGTAGATTTATATAGAAAGTATTCTTTAAAATAACTTTATTCAAATTCAGTTACTTAAAGATTTCTAATAAGTTCTAGAAGATTGGATGCTATCTTAAACTCTTTAATATTGTTCAAGTAACTCTAATAATAGTTTTGTCAAACTATATTTTATTTACATGCTATGACTGTGCTTTAAACATGGATTAAAACAGTTTTTAGTTTAATCTAATGACATATACATTGAAAATAAGCAATTTACCCTCCAATATATAAAAGACTAGTGAAGTACAGTATGTCACTTTTCAAATTCATGGTTGCTTGAATATGGTAGTTTCTTTAAAACCCTTCACAACAGATTTATATATCAAAGGTACCAAACAGAGTTAATTATAAGGTGCTCTCATTATTTCAAACAGCACCTGAATAATGGACTACAGGACACTCTCTCGCCAATAAAGTTCTTACTTAATACCTCAAAAACCAAAAAAAAAAAAAAAAAAGCTCTTCTTGAATTGCTAAAATTCAATTGCTTCCATACATTAGTGCCAGTTCTGCAAAATTGTGGAACAGGTATAAAAACAATCGGAGCAAATTTATTGCAACTTCAAGCAAGGAGAATGTCCACTTGCTCGGGAATAGAGTAAATGTCACTTCCTGAACTCTGCTCTAATATTCCTGTCACATATCCTCAACTGAAAGGACATAAAGGGTGCAGGGCATTGGACAAACAACATAAACAGCCTTCCCTTGGTAGCTGAGCAGGGCAGAAGCTTTTTTTTTTTTGAGTTGAAGTCTCACTCTGTCGCCTAGGCTGGATTGCAGTGGGGCACTCACAGCCACCGCTGCCTCGACCTGCTGGGCTCAGGTGATCCTTCCACCTCAGTCTTCAAGTAGCTGTAACTACAGGCGCGCGCCACCACGTCCAGCTAAGTTTTGGATTTATTGTAGAGACAACAGCTCAAGTTGCCCGAGCTAATCTCGAACCCCGAGGATAACAGGCGCGAGCCATCGCCCCTGGTTAAGAGCACAGAGAGCTTTTTTTTTTCTGAGTGGGAGTCTCATTC